GGCCCTGGTGAGGGCCAGCCTGCATGCATAGATCTATCTGAGGGCTCGGAGGAGCCACAGCCTAATAAGGGATATAGTCAGTATCAGAGTTTCCGCTAGAAAAAAATGGTGCCGGTCAAAGTGACCGGCAGAGTTTTCGTTTAACGGACATTTTGATGATATGCCGGTCAAATATCGCCTCTTAATTAGTCAAGTTGAGGAAAACTGGAGGCAGGCTATCAGGCTGATTATGTCATTCAACTTAAAAAATGACATAATCAGGCCGTATAGAATGCAATATGTTATTATTAGCCTAACTTTCAAATAGACGGAAAAAAACATGAACGTCCGATTGGCGTCAATTAACACCAATTGTTTTTTACACACACATTCACTTTTTGAAACATTGAGGCACGGATGTACCTAATACAAATAAATAACTAGCTGACTAGTTAACATCTCCATTTAACTAGCAGATCATTCATTTAGTTCGCTATTAAATAAGAGATCTAGCGCTAAAATCAGTTGTTTTTTAAATCAAGCTGAGCGCTCGTGTCCGCTGCTATCAGTTGCATGGACGACGCGCTGCGCAATCTTCACTCGGACGCGCGTTTCAATCTATCGCCGTTGCAGAGACTCTACACAGGCGAAGCACTGCTACTTGGGCGCAGAGATATCACACAACACCTGAAATAAAGCTTGCCACAAAGAACCGGCGAAAGTAATGATTATGCATGAAACATTTAAATTGTTGATAAATTGATAAAGTTGACGATGCATGCTCGCCATCTTCGCAGTAGTGAACGCGCCAGAAATGCACACTTCATATGAATAAATTCTTATTTTTTTAATCCAGGCAAATTTGGTGATGAAACATTGATTAAAATGAAGATACAATTTATACAAAACGAAATAAACTTTAAAGAAAGGCTTTCTACAAAACAAAACTAAATAAGTGGTCAAAATCATGTCTGACCAATTCCAAATGTTTTCCGATATATAGGCCTATTGGTCATCTTATGATCCTATCTTACTGATCTCATGCGGTTCCCTTTTCATATAGCCTAATCAACAGATGAAATAAAAAAAATAATAACATTATATTATTTATAAAAATGAAACGTATATTTAAGTTTTTTAACTTATAATAAGCGTCACACCGCTCCGCTCACATGCTCTGGTGTGTAGTCTAATGCATGTGTGCGTGCATGTGGTGGAGGGGTGCGATTTTCAAATAATAATCAACCCAGCGATCTTCGAATATTATTTTTGCTTGAAAATTTCGTTTTGTATAAATTGTTTATTAATTTTAATCAATGTTTCATTAACAAATTTGCCTGGATTATTAAATAAGAAGCAAATATAGTGGACAATATAGGCTAATCAGGACACGGAGGCGTCGGCGCGTGCACACTTATCTCTATAGGCGCGTTCACTACTGCGAAGATGGCGAGTCTGCATCGTCAACTTTATCAATAATATCAATGGACCTGGCCATATTTGAAACGTCTCACTCAATCGTTCGTTGTTTAGGTCTATATTACAGCCGTTCTAGGCGTGCGCTTTATTTGAAATGCAGCATGCGATGTTGTTTAATAACTTTCAAACGAACGGTAGAGCCTGTTCCTTTAAGCCAAAGGTCGGTGTATTTTTGCTTTATACATTTTAGGCTTATTCTCAAATTCATATTGTGTTAGGGGGGCGGGATTATTACGAAATTTTAATCGGACAATTTGACCGGAGAGATTTAATTTTGTCGGACATTTCATTTTTTCCCCGGCCAATGTCCGGTAATTACCGGACAACGGAAACCCTGGTCAGTATTATTCCATACAAAGGGCTGCAGAATCGCTCAGCCTAATGAAAACCCAAACAGAGCTCAAGGGGCGAAATACTCAGGAAGAAGTCAAACGGTCCCGTGGGTCGGACATAAGATCTATCTGAAGCTCTAGCTTCAGTCAACACTCTAAGTAAAATTTTCTAAGAGAGAGACCAACTACTGTATCCTGAGGTGGCTAACAGCCCGAAGGCTAATATAGTTATCGTTCTGGCCACCTAACGGGGAACTTCAGGGCCTTAATAATCCAGGAAACTTCTCTTACCTTATTACCTTGACATGACCCCATAGCTCTATACAGGGAACGAGGTCTGTAGAGAGATACATTTCGGAATTTTAATTCACACAAAAAAATACTCTTAAAAAGACCACTCAGCTCACCTGCGGCGTGCGGAGTGAAGACTCGCCAGATAGTTCATTATGAACCTGGGGTCCACCACTTTACATGCCTGAAAGAGGCGTTTCTACTAACCAAGCCTAGGCGGGCCATTGGAACATCGTTCTTATCATAGGCCCAGCCCCAGGCCTGATGTGATGAACGTCTGGGGAGTCAGAAGAGAGGAGAGGGCTGTGATGTAATGAATATTAATGAATATTATCCATCAGCGACGCTGTGTGCGCTTGTGCTGGATAACCTCCCTCGGATCCCTCTTCTTGCGGGAGTCACACGAGAGAGCGACACTGGCTCTCTGGCCCTGTCCGTGAAGGGCCAGGCCCTCCCGCCTGCCTGGGCGTGGAACCGGATCTCAGCGGTATGCAGGCCTGGTCTGCCTGCAGCACCGCCATGGTGTGCAGGGCAGCACCAGCCTGAACCGCTGCCGTGTATGCTCTGCCATTCAAACGCGCTGTTGTCTTAGCGGTTTGGATGGCAGGGTTGGAGCTCTCAGTGTCGACGCCTGCCCCGACACGAGATAGTTCGCAAACGACTCGTCAAATGGGCGGCATCGACACATACCCATGCTGTGCGATCCCCTCAACATCAGCGAAACAAACCCGCTGATGTCGGTAAATACGGGCAGAGTGTGGGCTCTTCCATGCCCTCTCGATCTCCGTGTGAAGATCAGGAAGGAATGGAAGGCTCACCTGAGCTGGTGGTGTATGGCCGGGGAGAAACCGATCGTCGATTTTACCGCGAGCGGTCTCTCCTCTCGCGTGTCGCCATGGCAGCTACAGCCTGCCGGCGGCGCGCTCCACAACATCCGCCAGCTCTACACGGGGCAGGGTGGCTGAGAGGGTTCAGGATCTACCTGATTATAAACCTCGTCAGCCATCTCGTGCTCGTCCTGAAGAGCAGCAACTGCAAGAAACCGTCGGTGAAAAATCCTCATCATCAACCTGTAGTTCGCCCTCGTCAGCCGTCGAATCATCTGAGAGGTTTACAGCCCTCTCAAGGTGATCGACGAGCTCTATCTGGGAACCCATGATGCAAGTCGCCGCTCTGCCTCGGCACGAGCGGGACCTGGACCACGAGGACCAGACGTTGAACCCCCTTCACTCGAGAAGAGGGCCAGACGAGAGCGGAGTGTTTTAAATGAAAAACGCTCACAGTTCGCACAGAGGGTTCCCTCGAGAATCTCCCGTGCGCACTCTTCTCCCATGCAGGAAACGCACAGCTCGTTGTACATTTCAGTTTCTTTCTCTTACCGTTTCTTTGAGTAGCATTTTCAAACAGACAGTCCCTGAAGACGATGAGATGATTTGTCATGTTTGGAAGGCGCCCTTATATACTTCCAGGTCACACGTTAATCATTCACGCTAATGATTCACGGGCTGTCGCCGGTCAGTGTGATTGACGGGATTTGATAGTGATTTCAGACACCTGTCACGCCTGAGGCGTTCCCCATAGCGTCGATGACGTATTGTTGAGTTCCCTTCGAAAGGGAACTAATCGCCATTCTCACAATCGAAGGAGAAACATTAGCCTAATATTTAGGCTAGGCCTACTACTACTACTCAGCAGCCATATCACCCTGTAGCCCAAGACTGGTTGCCCACTGAAGCTAAGCAGGGCTGAGCCTGGTTAGTACCTGGATGGGAGACCTCCTGAGAAAACCAGGTTGCTGCTGGAAGAGGTGTTAGTGAGGCCAGCAGGGGGTGCTCACCCTGTGGTCTGTGTGGGTCCTAACGCCCCAGTGTAGTGACGGGGACACTATACTGTCAAAAGAGCACCGTCCTTCGGATGAGACGTTAAACCGAGGTCTTGACTCTCAGTGGTCATTAAAAATCACAGGATGTCCTTCGAAAAAGAGTAGGGGTGTTACCCCGGCATCCTGGCCAAATTTGCCCCTTGGCCTCTGTCCATCATGGCCTCCTAATCATCCCCATACACTGATTGGCTTCATCACTCTGTCTCCTCTCCACCAGTAAGCTGGTGTGTGGTGGGCGTTCTGGCGCAATATGGCTGCTGTCGCATCATCCAGGTGGATGCTGCACATTGGTGGTGGTTGAGGAGATTCCCCCTTCCATATGTGAAGCGCTTTGAGGTCCCAGAAAAAGCTCTATATAAATGTAACGAATTATTATTATTATTATTACTGCTGTTAGATTTGACACCAAACTGACTACTATATTTTGACTGGAAGGAACCATTGACGATTATTTACAATGGTGAGTAGCCTATAAAAACAAGGACGACAAATCTGATTAAATGTTGAGTAATGTAACGTTAGCGCTTAAAAAGTCAAATGAGAAGAAAACTGGTGGGAGAAAAAAAACCGTGCTGCAGACACGAAAGATAGGCTAATTCTTATAGATCGTATATGCTATAAAAGTCGTGCTGAGTGAGAGTGAAAGTCGTTCACAAACACGAATCAATAGATTAAATTTCATATGTCACAAACTGCCGTACGACAGTTTGTATTTTACAATACGTATTTTACTAATAACAATGTTTAAAAAAAGAAATAAAAAAAAGAGTAAAAGTAGGGGAAGTATATGGAAATGGCCGATATTCGGGGAGTAGGCCTATATATAATTTATTTTGTTACAAATGTAATTTTAATATATTTTTAATATATTATGTAGCCTACTGTCTGCATTTACTGTGATTCGTATCATCGTTTTCATTATGTGTCCTCATAAAAAAATAAAGAAAAAAGAAAAGAAAAGAAAACTGGTGGGATGCCAGTTTGTGATGGTCTAGTCTAGTGTTGTCCACCAGAGCGCACTCTTGCGTCATTAGTTCTCTCGGTCATGGCAACCGCGTTTTCATTGACTCATTCCCTGCATAGATCGCACCAAGAACGAACACGCCAAAAACACGGGCGGATTCATGAGGAATGAGCCGAATCCTCTGTCTCCATGACATTCTTCTAAAGGCTTTTCACTGAGTGAGATCTAGAAGAGAGATTTGAATGTTCGCCGTTGATCGGATGTTCAGCTGACTGTGATTGCAGGAACATTGTGCGATCATCATCATGGCTGCGTCTGAATTATATACAAAGGTAAACTCACACACTCATCATGCGATCTGTTGACATTAAATGCTGATGCCAAAAAAGACTGTAGATGCAATGAAAATGTGTCAACGCGATGCCAAATCCTGCATATGTCTGAAAGTGGTGTTATTGTTGATGCTCGTTGCTCACGCGTAATGCTTAGGGCATATGTTGTCATTATTGTCCTCTGATCATTTGAATGAAGTAATTCATCGTGCATGCCTTAATGTCCGATGAACAACCTATTGTTTTATTGTAATACGAAGATGTGTGAAATATTGCTGTCATATCTTGTGTTTTAGAGTTTTTTCCCCTTTGTCTGCAGAGATTGCTATTCGATATGTCCTTTGAATTAACAACCTTAATTATTTGGGATCGAATTAAACAAAGCATTTAATATGAATACAATTAAATGTGCATGACTCCCCTGGATTGCTGGTCATTTTATTTAGAAAGATGTTGTGAACTGTATTAGGTGGCCTGTTGATGGACAAACACCTTCGGCATCCTTGGACAGCAGAGATTGGTAGTATTTGGCAGGCAAGCTGAGGTTTTCAAAGGCCTGTTATGTATTGATATGGGTCACAGTTGTAGTTGATGGCTGACTGCAGAGAGCCAGTGGGATGCAGGCGGTGCTGATGCGAGCATCATTGCCTGCATGGGATGATGCAACCATTTCTGGTGCTGATGCAAGCATCTCTAAAATAACAGCCCGTCTCTAACATAACAGCTGCATCCACGAGTCTTCAATTGTAGTTGTTTTCAATCCCCTACTGCGGCCTGTAGGCCGGGCCGCACAGATCAAGGCGTGTCTCCTTGAGAAAAAAATCCATTGGAATATTGTTGTGTAGAAGTCAAAACATGACATCATCAAATGTAGTCATGATGATGTCTCAGATGACGAATGGCTTTTTTTCCTTACTGAATGGAGAGGGAGAGAAGGGGGAGGCCCACCCATCCCCCATGATGCAGCTGTCTTATTGTAAATTCACTGGTGGATCCTTTTGAAAGCTGCTAGAGCAAAGCACATTTATTTAGATTCAAGTCTTATGTATAACAAGGGTTTATAGCTTGTCAAGGGTTATTTTTAGTAGACTTGTGTATTTTTAAATGGGTAGCGTGATTGTGTTTAGTGGTCTACTGATAGTATTGGTTATTTACGTCCTGGCAAGTTGTGCATCTCATTTATAATTAAATCCTACATTTGTTTAAGGAATTGAAATTATATAAGACATTGGACACCCTGATCCAGATATTCATATAAAGCTATTGAAAAACCCATTTAGGTCAACCACTTAGTTTGATTCAACCATGTTTTTTGTCATAACATATTTCTTCACTACAAAGCATTCAACATTTGAATTGACTACAGCCTATTAAGTACTGAATGAAAAAAAGAGAATTTGGTCATACGCTCGCCCTCATGTCGTTCTAAAACTATATGCATTTTTTTTCGTCTGCAGAACACAAAGATCACAGTTTGAAGAATGTTTCAGCTGATTTTGTCCATATTATGAGAGTCAAAGGGGTCCACATTTTTCATGAAATGAATCTTCTGAAGTTCTACAATCACTTTGTATGATGAACAGTTTGAAAACCTTAAGCCTTTATTCACCCGCAAATCAGATCAAGACATTCAACACAAACCTCAAACCTCAACTAACATCAAACCGCATTGGTTCTCACACATCACATGCCCAAAGATCATGACTTTGGAATATGTCAATCGAGTTGTATTGATTAATTTCCTTTTTTTTTAGTTTAAAAGTTTCTGACTTGACTTGGATTATATGGACAAAAACAGCTGAAAGATTCTTCAAAATATCTTACATGTTCTGCAGAAGAAAGAAAGCCACGGTATGAGTTTGGAACAACATGAGGGCGAGTCAATTGACATAGGCTAATTTCCATTTCTGGATGAACTATTCCTTTAATGCAGTGTAATCTTGTAGTGTCTCTGTTATGACAATCAAAACAATCAAAGCATTGTTATAATGATCTTAACTGCAATGATGTCATGTCTGAATATTTTATTTGGCAGTCTTGCAGTCAGCATGAGGTTTTCCTATCCTCTCTCAAAGGTCAACGAATCCAGGAAGTCATATTCACAATTTCCTTGGGTTTGTAAGCAACACAGAGAACACAGAGGTATTTGTGTGTGCTCGTGTTCTCTGGATAAAACTCGCATTGATGCAGGGAATGGCCAGTTCTTTTTGCTAGTATGGAATTCTGCCTCAGGCTGCTTGCAGATCTTACTTTTTGCAAAATCACCAGATCCTTATAACAGAGAGTGAAACTGCACTCTTGACATGAACCCGAGACTATACTAACAGACCTCCAGGAACTTGGTGTAAAGAGAAAGCTATTTATATAATGAGGTTGTATTTTCCTTTGTAGTATTTAAATTTCTGTGAGGTTGAGTTGTCAATTATAGTTGTCGTTAGTCAATCAGGTTTGCTGTCAGATCCAATATAGTTTGTACACATTGGACACTGACATAATAAGATCAGGTTGAAAAATGATCAAGGATCTTTTTAAAAGTAAACCTCAGCTGTATGTTTCTAATGGTGGGATTTTTCAATAGGATCTGCAGAGTAGCAGGTGCTACACAAAGCCAGGAACAGTGCAAGGTTTGACAGACATGCAAACGTTTAATTTAATGGCATTTAGGAATGATAGTATCACTCCTGCTTTGTCCTTATTACCTTATCATGACTCTGAACAGCCAACAGGCATTGATCACTAGCCAAGTTTCCATCCACTTGTCAATCGAATTATATGAAGTTCGGTAAAAAACCTCATGGGAATAAAGCTGGTGAAAGTGTGTTTTCATCAAACGGCTTGAAAGTGAATAAAAACCTGTGCGTAATGACGTCACATGCTGTTTTGCTATCAAATTGGTATATCGAATTGATTTGAGACATGTTAAGGTGTTTCCATTCATTTTCTCACCGAATTGCACAACATTCAAGCAAACTTTTGCAAACAAAGTTTTGCTAGGCAAAATGGATTGCGCCATAAAAACGTTTCCATCAGCAGAAAGGGGTCACTTGCGCTTCAGCCTAGTTCGTGCTCACGGAGCAGGACATCGAAATCTAAGAAGAAAGACCCAAGGTCTAGCACTCTAGCTAGGACCAAGGAACAGGACCGGAGCACAGAACGTTTTAAATTATCTTTATTACAAAATGACTAACGTTTCGACGCCCATGCGTCTTCTTCAGAGTCATAAGCCGTATATCGATCAAGATAAAATCCGATGAGACCGAACATAGGACACCGAACCCTATTTCACCCACCGAACACCGAACCCTATTTCATTTGAGTCGATATTCATGAAATTCAATCGAATTTTACTGTTTCCATGAGGCATTTTTCATTCGATATCACTTAATGCGGATAAAAACGTGTGGATGGAAACATAGCTACTGATGTGTTAATGTTGGGGTTAGGTAGATGTGTGCTTGTAAACGTTTGAACATCCAGAGATCTGTTAATTTATTCAAAAATCCATTACATGCAATGCGTTATTATTTAAAGACATTATTATCATGTCATTCAGACTCATTCTAAATATGATTTTTTTTTTTTTTTTTGTGAAACATTAAGGATCATTTGAAAAAGTGTTGTTTGCACCCCAGCGTTCTTCAAAATATCTTCTTTTAGAAGAAAGTAAGCCACGCAGGTTTGGAACTACATGAGGTTGAGGAAATTATTACAGAAAAAGCCTTATTACGAGGTTAAGATTCTTCAAAATCTTAAGTAGTTTGGCATAAACTTTTTTTTATTTCTTGGAGAAAAAAGCAGCGAAGCAGTTTTGTTAAAGTATTACATATATTTGTAAAACTTTTGTTGCCAACATGCAGAAACAGGAAATTATATTACAGAGAGGACTCCTGAAGACCATGCTGTGTGTTTAGTTCATTAAGTCCTTATAACAAGGCAAGGTTAGTTCAGGTTGTAAAACCAATGTTATATGGTACAACCTGCCAAAAACTATGATATTTATGAAGTAATAATTAATGATAACTTGAAAAATGTATGTAAAAACATGTAGAAAATAATGAGTAGAGTAGGATGTTGACACATTGTCACAGTCTTCGTCTGCACTGTTCTGTCTTGTTTGCACTACATCTCCCAGAATCCCTCTTGTCTCCACACCTGATCTCACTCCCTCATTTCCTCGTCATCATCTGTCTCACCTGTTTGCACATCATTGGTTTGTGTATTTAGTTCCCTCTGTTCAGTCATTCCTTGTCGGTCTTTGTTTATACGTCACCTTTGTCCTGGAAATGGAATAAATTTATGTTTGAATTGGAACCTGTCGACCATCGTCTTCTTCAACCCGCACACACCCGTGACACACATTCAAGGTGTAGGGAACATTATTGTTTTAAATGGTGTAAAGGCCCTGACATATTTCAATTGAAATCAAAGAACGAACTGACATCATTTACAACTCAATGAGGTCAAAACGAAGTTTGTTTGGAGTTCGTTTGTGAAGTTTGAAACAGCTTGCCAAAACAAACTTTCCAAAATATCAGGACCTTTAAAGTTTTCTAAACCAACATGGATGCTTATCTTTTTATTATCTTGGACGTTCTATGTTGTAACAATGTTATTGGCCCTTTGTGTGATAAACAGATGTGGATGACTCTGTTCTTTCTTTTTTTTTAAATGGCAAACCCTTGACATGTGCGTTTCATTATAGGAGGCAATTGAGCTCTGTATAGGGGTGAATGGAATTAGCGTTAAACAAGATCCCTGTACTATCCGCATGTGGCATCCGTTGACATGTTCACATACAAGTTTTAAACGTATCTTTCTTGTTGATTTTATCCACTGACCGTCCCTCCTGCAAGCAGCAGTTGTACGTGTTTTGCAGAATGATACATTTTTTCTTTTTTCTTCTTAAAAGCTTCTGTTCTTGCTCATGTGACACACTAGTGTGTTGGATACAGACACAAAATTCTCTCTGCTGACTAGAGCATCAGCCACTCGGAAGACCG